TTTATTTCCATCTCTTAAATTTTTTTTTTCATGTCTCTTTAGAGGAAGACAAAAATTTCAGTATGGTCCAGTCCCAAAAATAGGAAATGCATGTCTCGACCCTATCCTCGTCCCCGATTCCATTTTTTAAATAATTAATATATATTTATTACAATTTTTTTATACTTAAATTCTAAAAATAATTATAAAACCGATAGCTTTTTTTAAGAACATCTCTCGGACCCAAGAAAGATGTGGAGACGGAGACTAAAAATTTTCACGAGCACGAGAATGGGGGAGAACATCCTCACTCGCACATTGTCATCTCTACCCTACATAAAATTTAATATGCATTTTAAATTTTCTTACTTTTTAAAATAAAAAAACTAAAAAATGGGTTATCAACCCTATATGTTTTTGTTTTTTAAAAACAGAAAATTAAAAACAAGAAAAATCCAAAACAAAAAACAAAAATGATTATTAAACAAATCCTAAATATATATGTATATATCTTTTTCATATGTATCAATTTAGGATTAAAAATGACTCGTTGATAGCTATATTTGAATAATTTTTTTCAATTCCTAAAAAGAAGGGAGCCGTAAGGGAAAAAAAATAATTCAAAGGTTGTTGGAACGTGAAGTTTTGAGGTTGGTTTAATGGATTGAAAATAAATAAACAAATCCAAGTGGTTATTTATTTATGTGAAAATGACTTAAATCAAATAATTTATTTCAAACGATCCGACGGCGAAGATTTAAGTCAAAAACCGCCGCCTCCGCCGCTGTGCACTCTCTCTAGTTTAGTTGGCCGGCTATGAGAGAGAAAATGCAGGCTATCCAAAGCTACAAAATTTTAATAATTGACATTTTGCATTAAGTAACGTTTCTTCACTCTCTCTCTTCCCAACTTTCTCTCTCTAGAGGGGGGGGGGGATTTAAAAAGTCGGAACGCATATTTTTAGCCATCAATTATTAGATTTTGTAATATTTTAACCGTTAAATTATGATTTTAATGTCTAGGTTGCGTCAGTTTGTAATTTATAAATATTTTATTTATTATTAAAAAATTATTTTATTATTTCTTTGCATTATTAGCATTTCAATAAACTAAAATCAAATGTTATTTAATGTAATTGAAACAATATATATTTGATACACAATATATATTTACAATATATTCGATATAAAAGTCTGTAACAGTATCTATTTAATATACTGTATATATTCGATATACAGTATATATTCAATATATATGTTCGATATACAAGTGGATAATGTTCCAGTAATAACCTAAATGGTCTATGGTACATGGATAAGGTTTGATACCTTATCCTGGTAACACTATGGATACGACCTACTTTATAATAGTAATAGTTACAAACGACTTTATCCAGGTCGTTAATATAGAGACATGCTAGTGGGGGTATCCTATAATGAGTTTTTATAAGACCGGACCATGAAATAATTAATCATTGGCTCTAACATTGTTAGTCAATAGGTTGTTATCTCATAGGATGACCAAGTAACTCGATCTTAATCCTGAGCGAGTTATGGCCTCCTGCATATAAGGGATCGTCCTTTGATTTGTATGGGTGAGAGTGACTCAAATTGCCAACTCAATAATCCTACCATTTTGGGGACGAGATCGAGTGGGGAGCTGGTAACATAACTACGCAAGATGAAATTGATTCAATCCCGACTTTATGGAAGTAGATGAGTGTGTTCCCTTACATATTGACTCTGGAACTTAAACAAGGGGCCCCACCCTCTCACTGGCCCGAGAGGGACTTCCGTTATTGGTCAGATCATAACCAGGTTGTTCATTAGAAGAGCAGTAGTATTTAAGGGGCAAGATGTAACTCAAGGGTACGTAAACCGGTAATTTGACCTAGCTAGAGTTACGAGCACTCATGAAAAATTGACTTGCCGTTAATGGTCGTACATCCATGGAAACGAAAATATTTTGCGGTAAGAAGAGTGCAGTTGCAGATCTGTAGTGGAGTGACCCAACATTAGTGAATGTTGATTAACTCGGTTAATGAGTTTAACTGATTAATCTCGCATCGTTAGAATTTTTTATCTGTAGGTGTAATTAGGTCCCCTTGCTAGCTCACAATGGATAAAACAAGGATTAAGAATTATGAGATAATTTGAAATGTTCAAATTATATAAGGGAATGTATATAATGTATATTTATACATTATATAAATATATGTTAATTTTGGATAAATATTCAAAATTAATTCTATGTATTTTGAGTGTGGGGACTAATGTTATGGATGAGAAAAATCCTATTTTCTACGTTGGGAATTCAAAAGAAGAAGATATCTTGATGGTCTTGGGATTTTCCCTAGATTAAGGAGAAGATATAATATATCCAAAAGGATAAGATATCTTGATGGTCTCAGAATTTCTCCTAGATTCAGGAGAAGGTATCCTGTATCTAAAAAGATAAGATATCTTTATGGTCTTAGGATTTTCCGTAAGCTAAACCTTAAAGGTACGCTAAAAATCTCTCAACATTCTTACTCTCTCAATCCCATACAATTGGATCCCACAATCCGGATTCTCTACCAGATACTTAGCGAGGAAGATCAAGTGGTGTTATCCCATCGGGTTTACACATAGAAGAGTATTCAAAGGTAAAATCCAACGTTCTTCCCTATTTTATATTTTTCTGTGTTTTAAATTTTCAAAAAAAATTCAAGAATGTGTTCTACTGCTTTCGCACCAGGATTCACATCCCTTCAGCTCATTCTTCAAAAGTTGCAACCTCGCATCATTTTTCTTTGAAAAGAGTGAAACAAATGTGTCCCATGCCACTTTAGGGGTCTCTGCATTCCTAATGTACTCCAACATTTCTTCATCGATAGTAGTTTTCGTAGCAAACATGACCTTACCTGCCCTGACCTTCCATTTCTTCAAGGCGGTTGCATCCTCTTGTGGCGTGACTTCACTACCTCCAACAACTTCCCATAAGTCTTGCCCTTGGAGATACGACTCAATGCAAGTGGACTATGTTTTGTAATTTTGCGTGTTGAACTTCTTGATTCCTCCAACAATTTGAATGTCTCCTCTCATCATCTTGTAGTGATGAATGCACTCCACAAAAAAGTATGTCCCAGACAACAAGCTTCATAGTCCCAGACTGTTGACAATCTTCAAAAGCTCCACCAAAGCAAACTATGCTAGCTTGGATATGATACCACTTGTTGAATAAATTAGCACAAAAGAAAATAAACAATCGTTTGAAGAGAGAAACTTTTATTAGGAAAGTATAAATGTAGACACTTTTTGAAAGAAAGCTCTCTCACACTTTCTAACTTTTCTCACTTTATTCGCTAGTTCAGTTGATTCAGTTCACTTGATTTACTATCTTCACTGAATTCACTTTCTTAACTTGATTCACTCTCTTCACTTAATTGACTCGCGTATATTGATGACATCCGTTTTATTTATAGGAGATGAATCCTTAGAGCTCAAGCAAAAAGATCTTTCTAGGCTTCTCTTAAACTTTATGTATTCTAGATACTTTTTTATAGTTGTTTTGTATGGTTAGTGTGTTGTATTTTAACAATACGAAGTGAGTTTTCTTTTTAAAGGGTGTAGTTTTTCTTCACTTTAGAGTTTTCCACGTAAATTCTTCTATTTCTTCACTATTTTTTATGCTTTATTTCTCCAACAATGTGGTGGTTAATTTGGATACAACATTTTTGTGGTCTTGTTTGGATTGAAAAGTATTAAAAAGAAGCTATGGCTTTTATCGTACTCTAGAGTACAATTAGTAATCTTTGTTCGATTTTTGTCATTCATTTTTAAGCTTGAGACGTAAATAACATTGGATTTCTATTTATGATTGTTATAAAATGGTAGGGAAATAGAGACCAATGACAAAATAGTTTTAACCAAGGAAAAAATCAAATTAGATAAATAATTAGTTAACATAGGATAGACTTGTTATTGTCCCATTTTCATGTTTCTTAAGAAAATTTTTCGACATGTCATCTAATAATTAGGGATTATTTTAGTTCAAGCACGCTTAATAATTTTGAAGTTCTTATGAACGAGTCACTAAAAGCAAGGTGAACATTATTGTTATGGGTGGTAGTTAGTTATAAATTCTTTTCAGCATCTCCTAACCTAACTTGCACAATCTTAAGATCTCTTTCATCTGGACCTAACGTTGGTTCATTTATTTACCCCAATTTCTCATGTGGATACGATGTCCGTTCATTTATTGTGAAATATATCTATCGATTTTTCAATGGTCCTTGTACCAAAAATTCAAAATAAGAGAGAGTAAATTTTCCTACAAAGGAAAGAGGAGAACGGCCTTTCTTGTGTGGTCCTCGCCTCGGTGCAATGGACACCAAGGAAAAAAAAACATATCGAGATTTTGTTCTAAAATATTTATTTATGATTATGACATTTTTATATACACAAAATTATTTTACAAGTTTTTAAAATCTCAACATCTAAGAAAAAAAGGAATAGAATATTGATTAAAAATTAGAATACATGCAAACTTCTCCATGTATATCTAATCAAGTACAAGACTTCAAATTTCTAACCCCTAGACTCCCAAATAGCGATAAATTTTCTAACGAACCCTAATACATTTATAGTCTATTAGACATTTAAAAAAAAAAATCAAGAACCTATGAACATAAAATTAAATGTTGTGCTTAATAATTCTTCACTCTTTCAATCTTTTATCTAATAATTAAGTCCCCAAATAAAAAAACATCTAAAAATTTAGAGACATGCTAAATACATTTTAAATTTATAAATCTATTAAATACTGAGTTTTATTATTATCATCAAATTTTTTTTTTTGTGAAAAGTAAAATATTATGAGAATTGGATAATGATGAGGAAGGGGAAGAGGAGGTAGCATATAGGGGGCAATGATGGGAGATTGGTGAAGCAATAATATTTGGATGGTTGTTGTTGAATCCCAACATGATAAGAAATTATAATTAAAGAAGATGTAAACATATATGGGGAGATGGAAATGAAATGAAAGGTGCCATACCCCAACATCTCATCTGTCACAGACAAATATGCTATATTGCTGCCGCATCATTCATGTCATGCCCATGATCTATTTTTCGTCCTTTCCATCGAATATATCGAAAATTATTAGGTAACATTTTTGTTTCTTATATTTTTGTTAATAAATAAAAATATAACTGATTGGTAACTGTTGTTTTGAGTTTCGTTCTTTATTTTTTTATTGGAAAAGGAAAGGGAAATGTGTTTGGTAAGTGTTTTTCTGGTTTCGTTCTTTATTCTTTCATTGGAAAAATAAAGGGAAACGTGTTTGTTTCTTGGTCTTTAAAATTTTAAATTAAGAAAAGTAAATTTTTATAGAAAAATTATTTTTTTATTAAAGTTTTAAAATTTTATGTTGTATTTATTTTTTAATATTTATTATGCTTTATAAGTCAAAGAATGATAATATAATCCTTTTATTTACGTTTTGGAAAAAAAATTGGAAACAGAAATGAGAAACGAGAAATTACAAACTTTTTTGATAGCATATTTGTTTCTTATTTCTTGTTTCCACTTTTTTTTTCTCCGTGGAAAGATAAATAGAATGGTATTTTTAACTATTTCTTGTTCTTTGCTAATTATTTTTTAATGAAGGTATAAGGTTAATTTATTGTTTTTTTTTTGTTGATCTCTAAATTCTATATTTAAAAATTAAAAATTATTATTATTTTTAATATTTATAATGCATTATATAAGCTTAAGAAAGGACCCAACAATATTTTTATTTATATTGAGGAACAAATTGAAAATGTAAATAAGAAATAAGAAACTTAATTTTATTATTTCTGAAATTTATATACAATATTAGAAACGCTAAAAAACATGAAAACCAAAAATATAGACAATTAACAAATGCTTAATTTGGAGGCAATTTATCGACCGCCATGTATCAGCATCTGGAGTCAACAACTATTAAGATGATAAAGACAACCCATTAAAGAGGATCTGACGAAGTTAAGTTTCCTCACACTTTGAGCTATCACACATTCTACATACTGGTTGACCTACGACAGGTACGAGTTGAGGTTAAAGAGTAACCGATGGTGCACATATGACAGGCATATTCTCCGACAAGATAGTTTGGTCCTAGGTGGTCAGAAGCCGGCCTGTCGGGAGCTCGTCGCCCCACCTCTCATAAAAAGTATGCGAAATATATTTTCTCTTAAATATAGTTTGCTATGTACTGACTAGAGCGTCGAAGTACTAACCCTATTTTGCAGGTCTTGAATACTTCGGAGCAACTAGTCCAAGCTTCGTAGATCCGAGTTTAATCACCTTTACAATCAAACAGCTTTGGTTTCTTGACAAGATGAAAACGAGAGATAAAAAGAAAAAACGAAAATATTACCAAATTTCAGATATTTTCTTCTCACATATTAAACGGCATAGATTCGTTAACCACATTGTTCCGCTGTAAGCTATTGGGATGCACTTTCCTCCTTCCTTTTGGTGGTGGGTATTGGGTGGGAGACTGAAATAACCCTCTCCCTTATATGGTGGGTGAGGGAACTAACATGAAAAATGGTGTCAAATCAAATGTTATGGAAGAAGAGAGGAACCTCACATATATTCATATATGTATTTGCAATATGTGTCTTTTTTGTTCACACACACCATGGACTTGTGCGAAGGAGACGTGGACCATACGTGGTGGTCGACGTCTCTCTTTTTTCTCAATAATTTTTCGCATCATTTCTATTTGAGTGGAGTAATATTTATATTAAGATCTCTCTCCATTGAGAAAAAATTGTTTCATGTCATCTACATGGATGTTGATAATCTATTGCCAATCATTTTTCATGGTAAAAGTGCATGAGAATTTAACCTATTTAGTGGAGAAGGACTGAAATATGCTTTTTAAGTAAATATGATAATAACACAGAAAAAGTAAATAAATATGTGGAGAAATTTTAATAAAACTTGTATTTGTGTGTAACGAATTAAAACAACCATATGGAACAGTTTAAAATGAAATAGGACTCATAAAAGATGGGTTTTGTAAACATTGAAAAAGAATGTGCTGAATGAAGGGTTGGGTGTAATTGGAAAGAGCTCCTCAATTTGAACCAATATTGCTACATATATTTGATATGAGCTGATGAGATATTTGTTGTGGATCAGATACGATTGTGTTTGCCATGTTTGACGCAGCTAAATAGATACTAACTATTCCTTTGGTAATATTTCCGTTTCTTATTTCTCGTTTCTAAGAAATCTAAGGATTTTGCAACTAACTATGTTTCTTGTTTCTCATTTTCTTAGAACATTCTTAAAATTGTATAGAAATTTTGAAAAAAACCTAAATAAGTTTATTCTTTCTGGTTCTTATTTCATTATCCCAAAATATAAATAAAAAAGATTGTTTTATTGAATTCGTGGATGTTGAGATTGTGCAACTCATTTTTCTTTACTAAAAATGAAGAAACAAAAACAAGAAATACATGACCGTTGCTAAATGAATCCTAAGATATCAAGTTATTGGTCATGCTTTGAGCAAAGACATATATTTCAATCGTTTGGCCCATTTGAGCCATTTTGAGATGGGTCGTATGATGAACATGTGACATTATTTGAGGCCTCGATCGTAAAAGAGACTTGTTCAATCTCTATGAATATATAATATACCATCTATGTAATATTTTTTTCCATATTCAACTTTTATTCTACTTTTTAAAAAGGTTTGTAAACACGGCTTTCATTGATGTACTATTTGCTTGTCATCTACATTTTAAAATCTAAGCTAAAATTTGGAAAAACAAAATTAGTTTCCAAAAAAAAATTTTCTCATTTTTAAAATTTGACTAAAAATTCACCTATCTTTCTTACATACTACGTATAATTTTCAAAAACTAAAAATTAAAAACGAAATTATTATCCAAAACTCTAAAGATTTGAATCTTCCATTCCAATTATAAATTATGAAACAAACCATAAAAATTTTTAATACAAAAATTGGATTATGAGACAAAATTTCAATTCAAAACCAAACATAATCATGATCCATAGACCCTAGCTATTTATTGGTAGCAAAAGAAGATGCCTTATCTTCTCTTCTTATCATTTGGATGCAAAAAGTAAGTTAATTTAGACAAAAATTTATTAATATATACGCACATTATTGCAAAGTTTTCAAATCATTGAAATCGAATAAATCAAAATATATGTGTAGTTGCATTTTAATTTTATCACAAAAATAAAAAATATTATTAGTTACATATTTGGTAACGTTACGTCTTCTCCTAGACTTTTATTATGAAGTATTAACGAGTGTAATTAATTTAATTACTATACAAGTCTTATTTATGTGTGTTGAGACATCAGTTTTTATTAGTGCAATTACTCTCTCTTAATTAAGCCTCGATTTCAATTATTTCCTTGCATGTTCATGTTTTCAAGTTTTGTAAATTGAATACCTCATAGTTCAACGTTAATTAACGTATGTTTCTAATTAAGTGATGTATAAAATATTATTATTTATTGAAGTTTTTAGATATCTATTATTTTTACTTATATTTGAAATGTCATTAAGTTTATTCAAAATGTCATTAAGTTTATTCTCATAAATTATTTGATTCTGGAGTGGCGCTCATTTCAAATCTGTCAATGCAAATAATAATTAACACATTTATGTTTGTTGAAATGTCAAAATCATAACTGGGAAGTGTTGAAAATTGAAATAATAGTCGAAAAAGGAGAAAGAAGACTCTAGAAGGAAAAAAACATATAAATTTACACGAAAATCATAATTTTCTAAACCAAAAAAAAAAAGGAGAAACCTCGAGCAAAGAGAAAAATCCATAAAATTGATACAATACAACCTCTTAGTTTGAGGTATATGTCAATTATCGCTGAATTATTTATACTCGCTTTGACCACATTATTTTATTTATAAAATTCTTAATGATTCGTAGATAAGAACTCTAATTTATCCAAGAATAAGTTAGGTCCCATATCTAACTCAATTTCAATATCTATGTTAAAGAATAAAAACTATAAATGGATTAAGATTAGATTGGTTATGTGCAATTTTTCAAGTCTCGAGAATAAGTTAGGTCCAATATCTAATTCAATTTTAATATTCATGTTAAAAAATAAAAACCGGAAATGGATTAAGATAAGATTTTTTATGTGCATCGTATGATTTTGTAGGTCTCTCAACTTAACCCAGTCTTTAAACCTAAATTTGGTATGTGACTTAAAATTTTAGCCTTTGGAACTCTATTATTAAAGACACCAGTTTGATAACTACTTTATTTTTTAAAATTAAGCTTATAAAAACTACTTTAATTGATGTGTTTCTTTATTGTGTTATCTTCCTAAAAACAATTTCAAACTATAATGTCCAAAGTTTTGGAAACAAAAAGAAAGTGGTTTAATTTTTTTTTTTTAATTTAGCTAAAAATTTATATGTATTTTTAAGAAATATAAAAATATATTAAAAAAATATGAGAAATCAAACATTACTTTTACAAACTTAAAACAAAAAAGGAAGGGGTTATTAAGTGAAGTTGAAGCAACACACCTCGTTAATGAATTATAAACACAAGAAGTAGATATTAAAGCTGCATACTCACTTTTCTATATAACTCTTTCCTCTGTAATTTTACATTATTCTAACACAAATTACATAATCTCGATCAAAATAATCTGATTTAGGATTAAATACTATTTTGGTTCATCTACTTTTACGATGAGTTTTTTTTTTGTTTTTATACTTTCAAAACGTTCATTTTTATCTTTTTACTTTCGAATTTTATTCATTTTAATCCATATACTTCAAATTGTCCTTTATTGGTTCTTGTCCTTTTAAAAAGTTATTAGTTTCACCAATTCATTTTCATTTTTATCATTTATTTCAATTACAATTTTAACATAACACTTCACTCATAAAATTTATTGAAATATAACTATAGAGGACGAACCAAAACATACCTTTTGAAATTTAAGTTAAAATTTTACAAATAGAGATTAAAATGGTCACTTTAAAAGTATATGGACAGACCAAAACGTACCGTTTGAAAGTAAAAAAGTTTAAATGAACAAAAGTTGATAGTATAGAGCTAAGATCAATGACACAAGAATCAAGATAGGATTAAAACATATAATTTACATCATTCTTTTTTATTTTTATTTTTTAAGGAAAACAAAGTGAAGTGATTATCCATTATCCAGATTTAGTTGAGAGTTAGTTGACATTGTAGTAATTTAGTGCCGACGTGAAGTGTAAGAAAAATTAAAGTTCAGTGAATCTTCACTATTTAGCGATAGACTTGAAAAAATAAAAAAAAATAGTCAAAAATGGGAAGCATTTAATAATAATAAATTTGATAAATTAAAGAAGGGAAGTGGGGTCTTGTCCAAGTGGGTCAAACCTTGTCGGTCAATTACTTCTTTCCAATTTCATATCAATTTTTTTGTGTGCGATCCAATGATGTGATATGTTTTTCTTTTCCTTTTTCTTTTAATTAATCAATGATAATTTATTTCTTAAAATACTTTTTTTTTTTTCTGATATTTTTTCTGCCCATACCTTTAAAAATTACAAGGCATTTTAAAAAATACTTGAGTCTCTATATCTTGTCTAAGGTTTCATATATTGAAATTTTGCCTAAGACTCTGTATATTTCTTTTAAATAAAATTTAGATGATATATTCATATTCTATATTAAAGTCTTTCTATTAAAATTTTGTTTAAAACTTCATATCATCTCATCTCGAGTCGTTCCTGAAATATAATACGTTTTAAATTCTACTGCAACAATAAAATCCATCTTTCATTTTTTAAGCAATCATCATGCTAAACATGTTTATAAATTGAAAAAAAAGTGATTTGATATTGAAATTTGGCTACAATTCTATAAAGTATTGTTAAACATGTTAAAAGTGTGACCTGGAAATTTTAGACTAAAATAGTTCGCATTTTTAAGTAGAAAACTAAACAAAATTTGGCTACCAAGCCTCATGTTAGCCTTATTATCAGATTCGAAGTCCGAAAGTCAGTACAAGCTCAATTCAGGTTCAATTCAAATCCAATTTAAAGTCAATGTTTGATAACTCGACCCAATTCAACCAATCCCTCAATTGGATTGGATATGGATAATGAGTTATGATCAAATATTATCAACCTTTAGATAGTGTTTGGATCAATCTGATCCAATATAATCAAATATTTATTATTATTATTATAATATTGTATATATATACCTATATTAATTATTAATATATAATTAATTAGTATTTAGGAATATTTTTATTGTCATTCTCATTCTCCAAAATTTTTTATATTAATATAATAATACAATTTATTTCTTTAAAAATAAAATAAATGAAGTTATTATTATTATTATTATTATACAATTTTTTTTTATAAAAGAA